ATACACACGATAAAATTTGGTTATTAATCCTGACAATGAGACTATAAACATAGTTTTTTACTATTTTTAAGTTACTCCTTCAAAGTTGATGTTCATTAATTTTTAATAAAAAAAAGGATCATGTAAATGCTCAAGTACTAAAATTATATATTTGTATTTAAAAGATATCGATAATATTAACGAAAATTATATTATTATAAAAGAAATTATATTTAAAAAATATCTCATAAATAATAACATAAAGTACAAGAAGAAAATATCATGGTCCGCAGGGCATAGCGGCTGGTGCTCCCAGCACAGTTAATCGATAGCTTTGCGCAGTGGCAGTATCGTAACCAATGAGGTACATCCGAGGTGCGATTATTGCTAGTTGAAAACTTTAACCAATACCCCGCTGGGTTGGCGTGTTAAAGCGTCAGCTACGGCAATTTTTGTTAGCCCGTTCAAGGGCTTCAAATTATTAGAGAGAAGTATAACGTCACTCAGGTATGATTCTTCAGTGATGAAGCTAGTTTTGAACCTTTCTCCTGACGCTTCTTCTAATAGTATTTGTTATGCTTTTAAGACTTAGTAATTTAGATTTTAGTATAGTCGACAGGGCAGAATGATTTGTTTACTTAAGTTCTAATGATAATGGCCTTCAAGTTCAATTACGTTGATGCTTGGGCCACAACTTCCAGCTTTGACAGTCTTCCTCTACCCACACAGAATGAATTAAATAATAAGATATGCTGATAGAGCAAGGATCCTTGACTTCATGCTTCATCAAGAGGATGACTGTGACATGCTTTTTACTGAATACGAACTAGACTCTGCTCTACATAAAGGCAAAGCTACATCACCCGGGGAGGATGGAGTTACTTACGGCATACTGCGTATGCTTCTGCTAGTTCCTGGGAATCCCTTGCTTGAATTATATAATATGAGCTATGTAACTGGGGAGCTTCCTAAGTCATGGACTAACAGTCTTATTATTCCCATTCCTAAACCAAACCAGCAGAGTGCTTTTCGCCCAGTCTCCCTCACTAGTCGTCTCTGTAAGTGTCTTGAGAGGATGGTTCTCAACCGTCTCCTTTACAGAATTAGTAACATGTTGTCTCCCCAGATATATGGCTTTACGCATGGAAAGAGTGTACATCACTGTATTACCACATTCCTCACTCTGCATACTGATAGGTCATATACCACTTTCCTAGATCTTAAGTCAGCCTTTGACATTGCTAACCCACACGTCATTCTGAGCGAACTTCCTAAAATGAATGTTGGAGGATGACTTCTACGGTGGATAAGAGGCTATCTATCCAACAGGAAGTCATCTTTACTGTTCCAAGGGCATTGGAGTATAATGAGAGATTTTGAACTTGGCACTCCACAGGGAGGTGTCCTCAGTTCTACTCTGTTCAATGTGTTAATCAATGCACTTTTAAACTCAGTAACTAGGAGACTCAGCGAACACATCATTAGCTATGCGGATGATATAATTCCAAGAGTACGACTTAATCAAACTAGAAATGTTCTACAAATCAAGGGACTCAGAATGTGGAATGACCTTTCCAATCATGTTAAAGACTGTACCTCTCCCAACCAGTTTAAGATAAAAACTAAGCGCTTCCTAGTTAACTCCCTGTAACCTACCTTCCCCTAAATGTCAACCCATGTCTGCTATTTTAAACAATTCTGTTTGTCGACCAAATTGTATATTTGCTATTTTTTTGCCATGTTCCCCCCTTTTTTATTTTTATATTTTCTCTATCTATAACAAGCTGAACTATAACTAGCTCTATCTATAAATCCATCAATGTTTGTATCACACCTTGTATGTATATGCTTTAAATGAATAAACATTTGAATTTGAATTTGAATTTAATATCTGATATTAGAAAGAATGATATTAGATACAGTCTCCGTGGTGTAGTGGTAAGACACTCGCCTGGCGTTCCGCGAGCGCTATGTCATGGGTTCGTATCCTGGCCGGGGAGGATTTACTTGGCGCAATTCCTTAACTGTAGCCTCTGTTTAACGCAACAGTAAATGGTCACTGCTTGACGCAAGCGGGGATGTTTCTGGCGGGGGAGAAAGAAACTATTGCGCAGCGCGTCCCGCGGCGTTGCGCGGGCAGTTTGGGGCCGTATAAATACGGGCGCACAATGGGGCTCTGCCCTCACTCCGCCTGCCCTCGCCGCTGCCCTCGCAAAACCCCACCCTCCCCCCCTTTGCAAGCGGCTGCTTTTGTACCCCCGTCATGCTTTGCACAGTTGTCCCGATTGTCTCCCCACTGCATGTGGGAAGGGGGGTGCAGCGCCGGTCCCCAAGTGTCCCGCTGTCCGCAGCTAATACTTTGCCCAGTCTAGGTGCTAGTAAGCCCTACTTGTAGTCACCCCCTTCTCCTTATTCATTAGGTCTTTCCGGCCTCTTGGTCGGGTACATTATGTGTTATGTGGTCTCTCACTTATTAGTTACTCTTTGTGTCCTGCCTGTTATATCCTAGTGTTATATAATTACTCACATTTGCATTCGGCCTTAATTCTAGTACCAGTTAAGCTTTACGTTTCTGCAGAATTAGTTTCCATGTCACTATAGGCTAAGGTCTTATAATTACTACGGGTGTACCTTTTAAGTTAAATCTAGTCCTCGGACTTGGAATTGTTACTGTTAATTCTTACTTTATATATTTACATGTTCTGCAGAATTTAATCTTCAATAAACTTTAACGCCCCATGCTGCCAGTATCTTTCTCCCCCTGGTCAGAAAAATGTGTACTTGGATGAAAAAACGATTCTTCGCGGCAGGGGATCGTATTCCAGGGACCATAGGATTAAGGACTTGCCCGAAACGCTACGCGTACTAGTGGCTGTACAAGAATGTAACAACTCTTGTATATACCTCAAAAAATGCCAACAGTTTTCGAAACTTTTTTTGCAATACTTAGAATGTGTCCTTGGGAATTCAGCTTGTTATCGATGAGGACACCAAGGAATTTATCATCAACTTTACTACTGATTTATATATTGTTTATTCTTACATTAATTTCATTTGAGGATTTATTACGAAACAAAATATAGAAAGTTTTGTCAATGTTAAGGTTGAGTTTGTTAGCAGTTAGCCAAAGATGGACTTTATTTAGTTCAGTATTCACAGTGACATTTAGAGCAAGAGTGTCAGGACTGGAGAAAATGAAAGTTATGTCATCAACAAATAAGATTGGTTTGAGGTGTTGAGAGGCATTTGGAAGGTCATTAATGTAGATGAGAAAGAGGAGAGGGCCAAGTATGCTGCCCTGTGGAACACCAATGTTTATGGGTAGTGTAGGAGAAATTGAATTGTTCACAGAAACATACTGGAGCCTGTCAGTAAGGTAAGATTTGAGGTATTGTAGGGAGTGTCCTCTGACTCCATAATGATGTAATTTAAGAAGAAGGTTTTGGTAGTTGACAGTGTCAAAAGCCTTACGTAGGTCCACAAATAACCCAACAGGGAACTCATTTTTATCAAGAGCTGTATGCATCAAGTTAATCATACTATTAAGTGCATCGTTAGTGATTTTATTGGGTCTGAAACCATATTGGCAAGAGCTAAGTCTATTGAGTTTTGCTAGATATGATTGGGGATATGATTGCGGGGATGAGCATGCAGGAATTCATGCTGTTAAGGAAATAGTCGACTTGGGGGCTATTTTGTCGCCCTAGATCATTATTGAAGTCACCTCCCAGAACTATGTGATTTTTGTTGAGGTTGTTGTTTATGATAAGATTCCTCAAGTTACCTGAGAATGCACTAATTACTCAACACAAAGCTGCCATTAGAGCAATAACAAACTCTGGCCCCAGACAGCACTCTGCACCCTTTCTTAAATCTTTGAATATGTTAGATATTAAGTCACTGCACATACTCTCATATGTACTCCTATATATTTAACACTCTGAACTGTAATGCCAATCCTGACCTTAAATGTTTCCTAGAAGGTTGTAACAGAACCCATGGGCACCACACCAGAAACAAATACCTATTTGATATTGTTCAAATCAAGGGACCCAGAATGTGGAATGACCTAGCTTCCCCAATCATGTCAAAGACTGTACCTCTCTCAACCAGATTAAGATAAAAACTAAGCACCACCTAATAAACTCCATGTAACCTACCTTACCCCCTAAATATCAACCCATGTCTTGCTATTTTCAAACAATACTGTTTGTTGAAGCTTTAGTCTAAGTGGATGTCTTTAGTCTTTAGAATGTGGAATGACCTTCCCAACCATGTTAAAGACTGTACCTCTCTCAACCAGTTTAAGTTAAAAGCGAAGCTATACCTAATAAATTCCCTGTAACCTACCTTACCCTTCTATTGTCAACCAATGTCTGTTTTTTTTCTTTAAAAAAAATTTGTTTGTTTGTCGACATAATTGTATTTGTGCTGCTTTTTCATCTATGTTTTCATTTCTTGTTTTCATTCTACTCATTGTGCTCAATTAGTATTAAGCTTGTCATTTAAGTTTATCATGCCCGAAACGCTTTGCGTAATAGTGGCTTTAGGCATTGTATGTACTAGCTGTACCTATAAGTCAAACAATCCTTGTAAATATTTATTGTATGTATGTACCTTACCTAAATAAAATTGTATTGTATTGTATTGTATTGTAAGTGGGTTTTTTCCCAACCTTGCCCGATATGCTGTACGTATTAGTGGCTTTAAGTATTGTATGTACTAGCTCTATCTATAAATCCATCATTATAATTGTAACTCGTCTTGTATGTATGTTGTGTTGATATAGGGGCGACGACGATTGTGGGATAGGATGCGCCCTCTTGTATGAATGTACTTTTACCTGCATAAACATTTTGATTTTGATTTGATTAAGGACCTGCCCGAAACGCAATACGTATTAGTGGCTTTAAAAGAATGTAAAAAAACATTAATGCTATATACTTTCATAAATCCTATGTACCTCCTTGTATAAATATAAATAAATAAATATAAATATTGGTGTTTTGTTTACATGTGTGTGAGATGGACCGCAGAGAGTGACGGTTCACGGGGTTCAGTGCCCCAGGAGACACCAGAGAGGGAAGATGTCCGTTATGCGCTGCTCCACCAAACTGCTCTGGCCTGTGTTAAGAGCTAATCTGGGTCTGGAAATGGCTCCAGCAACATCCAGGTGGGTAAAGGTGTCAATCTCCCGCATTATTGAGAGTACTGCTGAGTGCAGTGGTCTCCCGGTGGATGGGTTGATCAGCTGATCCCCTGCACCAAGTTCTTACGACTCTCCATAACATTACCAGTATGATATAAACATTGCTGTTGTGATGTAAACATTGTCAATGGGATGTAAACAAATTATATTTCAGTGGAGCTATATTTACATAATTTTATTAATGGATTTGCGTAACTGGGCGAGCGCCGGGCGGGTATGTGGGTCAGGCCTCTCCCTTGCTGCTCTACTCTCACACTTGTGTACATGGAAGACTCTCCCTGTGCTGCTCTACTCTCACACTTGTGCACATGGAAGACTCTCCCTGTGCTGCTCTACTCTCACACTTGTGCACATGGAAGACTCTCCCTGTGCTGCTCTACTCTCACACTTGTGTACATGGAAGACTCTCCCTGTGCTGCTCTACTCTCACACTTGTGTACATGGAAGACTCTCCCTGTGCTGCTCTACTCTCACACTTGTGTACATGGAAGACTCTCCCTGTGCTGCTCTACTCTCACACTTGTGCACATGGAAGACTCTCCCTGTGCTGCTCTACTCTCACACTTGTGTACATGGAAGACTCTCCCTGTGCTGCTCTACTCTCACACTTGTGCACATGGAAGACTCTCCCTGTGCTGCTCTACTCTCACACTTGTGTACATGGAAGACTCTCCCTGTGCTGCTCTACTCTCACACTTGTGTACATGGAAGACTCCCTGTACTGCTCTACTCTCACACTTGTGCACATGGAAGACTCTCCCTGTGCTGCTCTACTCTCACACTTGTGCACATGGAAGACTCTCCCTGTGCTGCTCTACTCTCACACTTGTGCACATGGAAGACTCTCCCTGTGCTGCTCTACTCTCACACTTGTGCACATGGAAGACTCTCCCTGTGCTGCTCTACTCTCACACTTGTGCACATGGAAGACTCTCCCTGTGCTGCTCTACTCTCACACTTGTGCACATGGAAGACTCTCCCTGTGCTGCTCTACTCTCACACTTGTGTACATGGAAGACTCTCCCTGTGCTGCTCTACTCTCACACTTGTGCACATGGAAGACTCTCCCTGTGCTGCTCTACTCTCACACTTGTGCACATGGAAGACTCTCCCTGTGCTGCTCTACTCTCACACTTGTGTACATGGAAGACTCTCCCTGTGCTGCTCTACTCTCACACTTGTGCACATGGAAGACTCTCCCTGTGCTGCTCTACTCTCACACTTGTGTACATGGAAGACTCTCCCTGTGCTGCTCTACTCTCACACTTGTGCACATGGAAGACTCCCTGTGCTGCTCTACTCTCACACTTGTGCACATGGAAGACTCCCTGTGCTGCTCTACTCTCACACTTGTGTACATGGAAGACTCCCTGTGCTGCTCTACTCTCACACTTGTGCACATGGAAGACTCCCTGTGCTGCTCTACTCTCACACTTGTGCACATGGAAGACTCCCTGTGCTGCTCTACTCTCACACTTGTGTACATGGAAGACTCTCCCTGTGCTGCTCTACTCTCACACTTGTGCACATGGAAGACTCCCTGTGCTGCTCTACTCTCACACTTGTGCACATGGAAGACTCCCTGTGCTGCTCTACTCTCACACTTGTGCACATGGAAGACTCCCTGTGCTGCTCTACTCTCACACTTGTGTACATGGAAGACTCTCCCTGTGCTGCTCTACTCTCACACTAGTATATATTCGAACCCCAATTGGAATCAGACCCAACTATTGGATGGGTTAACCCAAGTATCGCGTTTCCAAAAGGGTCGCCCATGTTAGAAACGGCGAACACCGGAAGAATATTGTTGAAAACATTTGATAACTTATTAAATCAAAATTATTTATTTTAAGACAGAAATGCGATCTATATATAAAACCTCTACCAGACAAATATTTTAAGTAAAACCGAAGATATTTGTAGTTGTATAAAGTGGCAGTTTTCATCCCTCGTCGAGCTCGAAACCCGCAGTATTCATCTCAGAACAATGCCTATTTCACGCAGATTCTTTAATAAATGTAAGAGTTTTATATCTTGCAATAAAGATAGAAATATAAGCTCCGACCCCGGACAGATCGATTGAAGGAGCAGCTCTCACTCTCAGAACAATGTTTAATTCACGTGAATTCGTTAATAAACATATATGTTTTATATGCCTCAAGAAAGATAGGAATATAAGGCTCATTTTAAACACTTTACCATAGACATAATTAAAGTTCTAATGAAGATTCATGTGTTTTAATAATCGTCGAGCTCCGACCCCTGCACAGACTGATCGACAGAGCAACTCTCTCTCAGAATAATGTCTATTTTATGTAAATTCGTTAATAAACACAAATGTTTTATATATCTTAAGAAAGCTAGAAATATAAGTTTCATTATAAATACATTACAATATAAATATTTAAAGCTCAGGTGAAGATACGTGTTTATAGTGGCGTTCAGTAGCTTGTCGGGCATGGAGTGCAAACGCCTACGCACTTGCCAATATGTTGTGTAATTAACAAAGATATGCCAATAAAGCATAAAATATTACATGCCTCCAGAAAGACAGATATAATCGTTATTGTGAGTGCATCAAAGGAAATATGTGTTGGAGACCAAAGATATAGCAATTTTAATTTAAGTTTCGACTCTTGCCTGGGCGAGAGATGGGGGCGACTCACCACATCTATTGGAGATTCTGTCCACCTAAAAGACCCAAAGCTACTCAAACCCTTCTAGCATTACATAATTAATGAAGTAATATGGTAAATTCACTTACTATAATGTTGGTGCTGGATGCAGAACATGAGAAAACATAATTTTACTCTGAAAAAGTATAATTTCATAACAAAATAAGATGTAAATATGTAATATCAAAGGAAGTCGATGGTCCAAGCAACAATATCGTAGAGCGACTTATCCAAGATATATTGTTGTCTGGAAAGTGTTTGCTGGCTTATCAGCCTTCTGTACAGAGTGAACTAGTCGTCGTACTTCTCTGCTCAAATTATCGCAAATTTAATTTATGACGTTAACAAGTAGAATGTGTATTCATAATCAAATTTAACATAACTAGCCAGAAAACATTAAAGATTACTTAAAAATACATGGCTGGAAGTTAAATCGACTCCATAGAACAATAGTTTTGTTATAGATACTAATCGTTATTTGTTGGTATGCGTTCGCTACTTAAAGTACCATGTACTGTACTTGTGTAAAATCTGTTTCTTCGCACATGAAACACTGAACCCTACACGCACTCTGATTTACTGTTTAATAGCGATTCACAAATAAAGCTTATGATTGTATACGTTATCAAAAAGGCAGTGACAGTCATTTTTGCGTTTTAATCACAGAGATTAGATCTTATTGAGTTTAGTTTAGTTCGTTTGTTATGCACCCTATACCCATCTTGTGGGCGTTAGTGGAAAGAGTTACAGAGGCACATAATGGGCTCAGAGACTTAACCCCACAATACATTTAGCTAAGCAAGTTACAATCTTGATGAGCTAGTTACAAAATTCAGTATAAGTCGTCACATCATCAATGGGTTCGAGATCGACCACAAGTACAGTTTCTAAATGAAGCAACTGACATATGTGGAGAGCTAGTGTCACAATTGATATGTTTGTCCTGCACACCGCCCCCATCCAGTGGGCAGCGGTGGATAGGTTACAATCACTTAGTTACTACCTACAGTTAGCAAACTGGGGATATTTGGCTAAAATTTCTGGTAGCAGATCATTTTGAATGAAATATTTACACATTGTTGGAACATTTGTAGAGGAAAGATATTCATATTTTAAAGAAGGTTTCTTGACCGTCGCTCTCTCTATTCATAGGAACTAACTTTTTTTTGTTATTATTAACAAGCTTAGGTATACACAGCAATGTGCTGCTACCCTATTCTATATGAAAGATTACACAGTATATATAAAAAACTAGCTATAAGTTCATCTAATATTTCCATCTCACAGGATGGTTAGTTATACATGGAATCAGGGATAAAATACCAGCTTCAATACAAAAAAAATTCAACTCTAACTAACAATCAGGCGAGAACATAAAATGTAAGGCTGATGTTATCTATTAGCCCCCATTAGCAAAATCTAGGTACAGCATAAGAATATCTTCCAATTTTCCTAAGTGTATGAAGTAATCACAGAGCTCAAATTACCTCATACCATTTGGCCTGAAGTCACTTATAACAGGGCAGTCACAGTTATAGTGTTGGAGAGTATGTCCCAGCTCTTGTTCACATAATTTACAATAGTAATGTTCACCATTGGGGGGATTCATTACCTGCAGCCACCTGCGATAGATACCAATATCTCAGCCTAATTCTGGAAATTACAATGTCACACTGTCTAGTGGATGTTTTATGTTGCTCGTTCATATAATTATCTGTTCTAAACATGTCATAGCTCTTTATACTCATGCTTTCTGGCTTTTGTGTGTCGGTGACTGCTCTTCTGTCTTCCCTAATTACCAAAAGTATTGCGGCATTTACAGAAGAGATTGGAATGAGAGGTCGCTGGTGATGATGTGCTAGAGGTCGCTGGTGATGATGTGCTAGAGGTCGCTGGTGATGATGTGCTAGAGGTCGCTGGTGATGATGTGCTAGAGGTCGCTGGTGATGATGTGCTAGAGGTAGCTGGTGATGATGTGCTAGAGGTAGCTGGTGATGATGTGCTAGAGGTCGCTGGTAATGTGCTAGAGGTCACTGGTGATGATGTAGGAGGTCGCTGGTGATGATGTGCTAGAGGTAGCTGGTGATGATGTAGGAGGTCACTGGTGATGATGTGCTAGAGGTCGCTGGTGATGATGTGCTAGAGGTCGCTGGTGATGATGTGCTAGAGGTCACTGGTGATGATGTAGGAGGTCGCTGGTGATGATGTGCTAGAGGTAGCTGGTGATGATGTAGGAGGTCACTGGTGATGATGTGCTAGAGGTCGCTGGTGATGATGGGCTAGAGGTAG